ATGCCTGGACGTAATCAGTGCTCTATGTGTGGTCCTTACTAAGATTTATCATTAAGTTCTCCTCTCTGCTGGGCACAGTGGCTCACGCCCATAATCTCAGCACTTTGGGAGGCCAAGGCAGGTGGATCACTTGAGGCCAGGAATCTGAGACCAGCCTGGCCAACATGGCAAAACCCGTCTCTACTAAAAATACAAAAAAAATTAGCCAGGCATCGTGGTGCACGCCTATAATCCCAGCTACTCAGGAGGCTGAGGCAGGAGGATCACTTGAACCCAGGAGATGGAGGTTGCAGTGAGCTGAGATCACGCCACTACACTCCAGCCTGGGTGACAGGGTAAGACTTGGTCTCAAAAAAAAAAAAATCCGGGCACCGAGGCTCACACCTGTAATCCCAGCACTTTGGGAGGCCGAGGCGGGCAGATCACCTGAGGTCGGGAATTTGAGGCCAGCCTGGCCAACATGGTGAAACCCCATCTCTACTAACGATACAAAAAATCAGCTGGGGGTGGTGGCACGCACCTGTAATCCCAGCTACTCAGCGGCTGAGGCAGGAGAACCACTTGAACCCGGGAGGCAGAGGTTGTAGTGAGCCATTGCACTCCATGCCTGGGTGACAGGGCGAGACTCCATCTCAAAAAAAAAAAAAAAAGTTCTCTCCAGGCCTCAGTTTCCTCATTTATAAAATGAGAGCAATGATGTTTGAGACCGCGCTCAGCTCTCATTGTTCTGCAAGTCACTCTCCTTTTCACTTCGGCCCTGTTTGCTGGAGCCACATCCCCGCCTTCTCATCTGATTGTGCCTGGCCACCTCTGGAGGCCACCTGTCTCCCCCACCCTCTCGGCAAGCCTGAGGGACCAGAGGCGCTGCCAGGCTGTCCTCAGCATCACCTGGGGATGAGCTATTAGAACGTGCTTTCGAAAGGGTCAAATATGACTGAACAACAATAGCTACTTTTTTGGAGCTGCTATCATGTCTGGGGCCTGTGGGCTTATTTCTGAACTCTTGGAAATTGGTATTATTATCGCATTATAAGATAAAGAGGCTTTGAGTGGTTCAACCATTTGCTTAAGGAGATGCTGGAAGTGACAAAGATGGAATCTGAATTCAAATAGTAATAATAGCAAACAACCGTAATAACAGGAGTTAACATTTGCCAGGGGGTGATACTACTCTTTTAAGTATTACCTCATTAAACAATCCCAGTGACCCATAGGGTGGATGTTATGATTCCCATTCTACAGATGGAGGAGCAAGACCGAGAGAGATGGAATGACTTGGCCAGTCACCAAGGTAGGAGGTGACAGAGCTGGCCTTGAACCTGAGCCTGCCTGGGACCAATGCCCAAGCCAGCTGTTTGACAGTCCTTCCCCACACCCCACAACCCTACAAGCATCAAAGGTCACCCGGCAGCCTCTCCCAGCCAGCCCCAAGTGCACCTTCTCACACTTCCAGGCTGGGGCTATCTGACCCTGAAACAGGCTGCTGAAGGTGGCCTTGGGAATCCCAGCTTAGCTCCCAAAGAGGGTTGCATGGGTTCCCTTAGAAAATGGATTCTTACCAGGAGGTTCCTTGGACTTCCTACGACTGGATGCAAATTTGTGAATGTGTGTGTGTGCATTCCAAAGGTGACAAACCACAGCTTGAGAAGTTTCTGATTCTGTGGAATGGGAGAACACGAGGGACGTCCCCAAAGTTTCTAGGTCTCTGCAACCTGCCTGTCCCTGCCTCTGTGGGACTTTAGCACCATCTTCCAGGAGGACTCACAGAGAAGAAAAGCAATAGGCCAAGGCAAGTTCAAACTGTGCCACCCTCCCCTAGCTGGACTGACTGCAAAGACGCATTTATTCCAGCTTGTGTCGGTATTGCCAGATTCCCAGGCCCCGCCAGAGGGGAGGCATGAGCCACAAATCCTTCCAGGCACTGATTTATGTAGCATTCACGCGGAATTCATTATACAAAGAATTTTATTCAATTAAACTTGAAATGCATCTGGATTCTTAAAGGTTCAGTAGTGATTACTGGGACAGGGCAATCATAAAACTGAATGGGCTGTCGGAAGGTGTCGAGGCAGCGGCAAGGGTGACATTGCCGCTGACGGGGGCTTCCGAACCAGGGACGTTTGTCATTGGGATGTGTTACAAGTTCGGGCTGTGGAAATTACTCGGTGAAAAATGCACATTAACAATAGCCATGAAATATCAGTTAAGGGAAACTAGGTTGAGAAATGAAGACAGCAGGATCTATCAGAGCCTGGCATTGTTCACCGCAGCCCAGGTAGTGATTAAAACGACTGTCAAGCGGCAGTGGGTGGGAGCCGAGGAGCACGGGGCCGTGAGTGACGAGGCCGCGTCCGGGGCCCACATCTTGGTACTGACTCCCCAGGACAACTCGGTTCCCCACCTAATGCCTCCTTCCAGGGCTGCTATGGGGTTCAAATGAGATAATGTCTGTGGAACACTTGGCTCAGGGCACTGCATGTAGCAAGCCCTTCCATAGTGCGGGCTGGTGTCACTGTTACTGCGGGCTTCTCTCCGAGGGAACAGCCAACTGCCAGCTCGTCTCTGGAAATGACACTAAATACCCCATTCCAGGGAGCCTGACCTGGAGGAGGGGGAGGCATTTTCAAGGGTGCAAAATGTAAGGAAGTGCCCACAATCCACAAACTCAGTGATTGAGTAATATTTGTGTGCAGTATTTTCCAAAACGAAATTATGAAAAAAATCTACGATAAGCAAGGAATCACGACTTTAAATAAAAGCAGGCTGCTGTGTGTTTCAAAACCCATGTTTCCGTGCAATGGGATGGATTGTTTCTGAGAGTTGGCAATGGTGTGCAAACACTGGCAGCGTGGGCTTCACAGTCATGTTTCTTGATTGTAGGGCTTTTATTAACTTTTCCCACCTGGTTCAAAATATGCGAGGATATTTGCTCAGTGTACAGATGGGTACGCGTCTTTCCTTTTGCTTTGGGCTCTTGATAGAGCTTTTGAAAGGCGCTGCAGAAGAGCAAATGTTTTAAATACCCCATCCTGCCAGCCCCCAAAGCAAGCTTTCTCCATTTTTCCCAGGTTGGTGGCACATGAGAGAAACATCTGCTGAGTGGTGGTGTCTGCCCTGCACCCGGGTGGTTTCTCAGAGAAGTGTTTGCTGGTGAACCAGGAGACAGATACAGAGGCAGGGGTCTGAGAATGCGACTGTTAACATCCGGCCTGTGACAGCCAGTCCTGGAAGGACAGGACTTGGCAACAGGCAAACGGCCTTGTTTCAAAGACTGTCACTTTAGGATGTTGTATTTACCCAAAGAGCTTTCCTTATCCTTTGGAGGCTGTGCTTCCCCATGGCTAGGCATGCAGGGCTGCTGTGTTATTATATATATGTATAGCATATATATTCCCCCACACTTTGATGGTGATGGGTGGTTCAGAGGTAACTAAACTTCCAAATATATATATATACACACACATATTCCAGGAAGATTTTGAGGTGTAGACAGAATTGAGTGTTTCGCTGCAAGCTCTTTGAACATACTCCCTGACCGAGCCTTAGTGATTGCGTGGTTAACCACCATTCACTTCTGAACACTCAAGCCGTTCCTGTTTTCAGATTTTTTTTTTTTTTTTTTGAGCCAGAGTCTCGCTCTATCACCCAGGCTGGAGTGTAGTGTCACGATCTTGGCTCACTGCAGCCTCTGCCTCCTGGGTTCAAGTGATTCTCCTGCCTCAGCCTCCTGAATAGCTGGGATTACAGGTACCTGCCACCATGCCCAGCTAATTTTTTTTTTTTTTTTTTTTGTATTTTTAGCAGAGATGGGGTTTTGCCATGTTGACCAGGCTGGTCTCAAACTCCTGACCTCAGGTGATCTGCCTGCCTCGGCCTCCCAAAGTCTGTTTTCAGCTCTGTTTTGCACACACTGAACACCGACTCCGTACCAAACCTGGTAGTGACTATGGGGGCAGTGAGGCGCTGAACAAAGCCACCTCCTGGAAGGCATGCACACACTCCTGGTCATCTGCACCTCACCCACCCTGCCCAAGGCTCGAGAGGACCACCACAGCCTGTCAGCAATGAAGGGACCCAGAAGACACAAATGAATATACCTGGCCCTCCCGCAAACTTTGCAGGCAAGGTGGTAAGAATGAAGGCAAAAATATGCACATGACTGAGAATGTAATGTTTGCTGACTTGCCAGCATGAAAGATGGCCTGAGTGACCAGCTGACCCGAGCCTCGCTCCGTGGCCCATGCTAAGCAGCCACTCAGTCAATACGTGATGGCTGAATGGAGTTCGCCAGGCATTTCAGCCCTGAAACTCAACAAGAGTCTGTCCTTCCAAAGTCATTTCCTGCAATTAGCAGCCTGCAGTCTTCAGGTTCTTGGGGCTGCCTCTTCTGCCCTTCATAAATATCGCCTTTCCCAAGGACACTGCTGGCACTGGCAAGTGTCGTTTCATAGCAGGAGGGAGGAGCGGTGACAACTGAAATAAATACAGCCGTGCATGGATCTCAGAGGCATAAGCCAGCCAAGTGCAACATCAGAGAAATCAGTCTGGTGGATGTCAGCGTCGCTGGAAACTGACAACCTCATTTTCTTAAGCTGAAGACGCTGCACCGCAGACCCTCGACTCAGTCCAACTGGACAGGGAATGTTCACCTTCAAGCGGTAGTGTTGTTCTCAGCAGGGTCTCCACCCCTTTCAGAGGGGGTCCTCTAAGCTGCACCCCCACCACACACACTTCAATCTAAGCCAGGAGTTTCTGAGCCTCGCCTGTCAATCTGCAGCTATCCTTCCCCCACACTTTGGCGGTGATGGGTGGCTCAGAGGTAACTAAACTTCCAAATCCTGTCCGCCTTCCCCGTTACAAATGTGACATTTAAAGCCCCTTTGGCACAGGTAAATCACAATTACATTTTCAAGGGCCTCTGGTCCCATTCCAAATCTCTGAACAATCTGAGCTGGCAGTGGGAGGGCGCACACACACACACACACACACACACACACGGCTCCAGCCTTTCTCACTTTTATTCTTTTTCCGCACAGCTCCTTCTCATTGCAGCAATCACTTTACCTGTCTTTCCTGCAATGCCAATTCATTCCCACATCCCTCCAAGACCCAGGAGAGCTTGGGGAAGCAGGGTCAGGGACAGAATCCCCAAAGGGCCACAGTCCCTTGAGGAAGGTGGCAGGAGGTGTGGAGCAAAGCAGAGCTGGGACGAAAGGCTGCTTTCAGTCTCTCTGGGTGAGCTCTTCAGGAACCAGGACCCCAGAAGGGCAGGCTCCTCTCTCCATGACCATTGCCATGGAGGGATTCTCCAAGCTCCCACTTTCTGTGATTTCAGCGTGCCTCAGACTCGGCTGATGGGTCATTTTTCTTGTATATTTTCTCTTGATTCCCCTCCTTCATGGCTGCATATCTGGCTAGTGTGAAGAGATAGTCACTGAGTCTGGAGGGGCAGAGAGACAGAAGCAAACAGAGTGGTTTGAAATGAGAGATCAATGCTAACTGGGTCTTCCCATATCTGCCTACAAGGAGGAGATATAAATGACGCGCTCTGGGCACACTGTGCAGGGAGGGCGGGGGCCCACCACCTTGCACTTGATGGATGGCATGCGAGGCCAGCTGCTGTGAATGCCAAGGACTCTACTCCAGTGTCAAGGCTGGGGCCATTCCTGCAGGATGAGGCTATTGCCCCAGCCCTACCCCATGGGGCAGATGACTTTGGACTCCTCTCTGAGCTGGTTTCTGCACTTTTGAGTGATCAGGGCTCATGTGCGTGATCAGTTTGGGTGTTTCCCAAACTACAGTGTGCACAGGCATCACCGGGGGATCTAAGCAACGTGCAGATTCTGATTCGGGAGGGCTGGGCCAGGCCCAGGACTCTGTAGGTCTAGTTCCCATCCTGGGTGATGGTGACACTGCTGGACTAGGCCCTACTGACATTCTGGATCATTCTCTGTGTTCGGGGCTGTCCTGTGCATCCTGTGCAATGTAGGATGCTGATAGCACCTTTGGTCCCCACCCGCCAGATGCCAGTGGCACCCCTGAACCCAGTGTGACAACTGGTAATGCCTCCAAACATTGCCAAAGGTACCAGGTGAGCAGCACAGGCTGGGGCACTCTAGAGACCAGAGCCCAGTCCCTTTCCCGCCTCCTCCTTTGAGCCAACAGCAATGGGCCATCTGTGCATGAGGCCTTCTGCAGGGGCAGCAATGGAGGGAACTAGAGGACAACGCCATGGGCCCCACAAGGCACTTATGCTGTCAGCTCTTCTGCCTCCTGCTGTCCGCATCTTTTGCTGTTTCATTCCCAGCACTGGGCACCACGTTCCTCCCTCTCTCTCTGCTCCAGTCTTGCCCTCAGAGGCCAGCTCCACACCACGTCCTCCTGAGCCCTCCCCTGACTCAGGCGCCCTGAGCCCCACAGCTGGCTCTCAGGGACAGCGAAGGGGAGGTGGTTCGGGGTATTTTACCTCTGGGCTGCGTGCTCCTGGAGGGCAGCAGTGTACCTGTTGCTTGTTGGCTCTGTGAAGCCTCACTGAAGAGATGAAATGGCCTGTCCCGTGCAATGCTATGGGACCGCAAGGGTCCCCCCAGGGTTGCTGCTTTGACCTGCTCCTCCCTCCCGGTGAAACCCCACTCCCAGAAGGAAAGGAGTTGCTCAGGACCTGTCGAAGCCAGGCCATGTCCGTGGGAGGAGTGGCCAGTCAGGGGCCTGAGGTCACTTTCTAGACACCCAGGACAGCTCCTGGGGTGCAGACCCACTCCCCCAGCTCTCTACCTGCCCCCAGGCTCTGGCCTTGCTCACACTGGTGCCACAGGAGCCAGGGCTGGGGCAGGAACCAGCAGAGCAGGCGTTGGGCCAGGTGTGGCTCCAGCCTCATGGGCCGGCAGCAAGGCAGAGGAAGCCCTCCCTGGGCTAGCCTGGCTCACTGGGGCCTGCACGGGGGTCCCCTGAGCTCAGCTTGGCCCGGCTCTCTTTTGTTGGTTCACACTGCCCCAAGCCCTCTCGGGGAGAGGAAACTGGCTGAGAGAGGGCCTGAAGCCTGGCTCCCTGGTCGGTCACCACCGAGAGGCCTTCCCTGAGCACCCAGCCTCTAAGAACGCCCTTCGCTCCCGCAAGGCCACTTTGTACATAAGTTTTTCTTCCTGGTTTTTACAGCAGCCTCTCCCAATAAGATCTAAATCTTCTCGGGACAGGCACAGTGTCCACCTTGTTCGCCACTGCCTCTCCTGTGCCTGCCGTGGTGCCTGGCACAGAGCAGATGTTCATAAACACTAAGGGAATGAAGGAGGGGGTGTGGGAACACTGCACCACTGCTACTTCCCACAGACCAGCCTCGGCTTTCAGAGGGGGACCCCCAGGTTCCACGCAAGTACCTGTTTAAGAACTTGGCCACGTTCGCATCGGTCTCTCCCATCTGGACAAGAGGCACCACACTAGAAAGGGAGGAGACACTGAGTCATGTGACATTATGGGGCTTAACAGGCTCTGACCTGGGGCCTAAACCTTGAGCAGCATTTCACATCCCACTACCGCTCAACCTGAGCCTGCACAAGCTCGGCCAGCACTGGAGATGACAAATCCGTCACAGGTGGGTTTAAACAGGCCATCGGCCCCCTTTCCACGGGCACATCGCAGGAGGGCCTGGCCAAGGAGGACTAGAGCACAGCTGGGGAGTTGAGGGAGCCGCCTGGCCTACACCACACCCGGGCCAGTCAGCCAGCTTTTGCACCATTGGACCTGAGTCTGGGTGGGGTGAAGTTGGGGTGGTCAGCCTCCAGCCTTCAAAGGAAGTGGGGGCCTGACCCTTAATTCCCAATGGGCTAAACTCTAAGCCCCTTGTACATCATGCTTGTACATCATGACTTAGAACAACTTCACAGGGGAGAAAAAGACCCAGGCAGACCAAGCTCCTGATTCCACAGGATTCTGGATTCCTAGGGTCCATGCCCGTCTATGTGCAGATACATTAGACACTGGACAGCCATCTGCTGGGCACCAGTGTGGTGGCGGGCCCTTGCTGAGCCTTTCCCAGGTATCACCCTGTGGCATACACTTTGTTGGCAGGCCAGCCACCCAAAGCCCAGCCTCAGGGTTCTCATCCCCACCCAAAGCCATGCACCTGGCTAGCGGCCCAGCAGGGTGTGCGTCCAGGCCTGTCAGAGTACCAGGCTGTCTCTAGTGGGCACCGCACGCTCAGCGAGGAGCTTCTTCACCCGAGATGCCCCGGGCGCGCGTTCCCACCTCAGGACGATCTGCACCTGGCCACTGCCACGGCTGCGTAACTCTGCTGCACGGCGGGCCTGTCAGCTGCTCTATGCCTGTGTTGGATCTTTGGGTTGTTTCCAGTTTCTTGCTATTATGAGCACTGCTGATGGATGGCTTTGTACAAATGACATTTTTTTTTCTTTTGAAGCCAAAGCTTGCTCTGTTACAGGAGCTATTTGGGCCCAAGAGCCTTTCATAAAGAACAAAACCTTAGTGATGTGGGACTGTGGAAGAGCTCGTGCTTGGCCCAGACAGACGTGGACTCCAATCTGGATTCTGCTACCAACCATTTGGGGGACTGTGGCCACGGTGTCATTTCTCTGAGCCACAGCTTCCTGACTCCTGTAAAGCGGAGGCCACACCACCTCTCTCCCAGGGCTATCAACAAGGAGTAAATGAAATTATGAACGCAAAGTACCTGTCCATTGGATCAAAGCAGGGCTTGCTTTCTCTTCTCTGTAAAGCAGGCTGGCAGCCTGGTCTCCGAGTGGTGTAGCTAGAGACTTTGCTCATTTCCTTCTACAGATTCCTTGAAAAGGCTGTCAGTAGCTTTGGGATGGTGGTGGCTAGTCTGCTGACAGCGTCCACCTGGGCTCCCCACAGCCGTGCAGGCCTTTCAGGGGCCTTATGCACCCAGAGGCCAGCAGGGTCCTTTCATGTCTACCCCTGTCCCAACATGGCTGGGAACCCAGCAATAACTTCCTGTTGTTCTCAGAATACAGGGCTCACAGCAAGGTGCAATTGTGTTGTCTGATAGTCCATTTGGTCACGTGTCACTGTCTCCACTCCACAACACAGTGCTCTGAGGACAGGGACTTGGTCTGTCCTGGCACAAGTGGAAGGGCCCAGACAGGGTCTGTTGATGTGTGGCCGGATGGCTCAGAGATGGCCCTGCTGTGCCTGCCTCCTGCCCGCGGTGCAGAGGCCCCTCTCCCTCTCCCCCTTCCCCTCCCCCTTGTTCCTCTCCCTTTCCCTTGGGCCCTCTTACCGTCTCTCAGCCCGGCGGCACACGGCCCGGCAGAAATGCAGCGCTGAGCCGATCTTGCCTCCCGACTGAAAGCAGAAAGGGACATTGCCTGAGCAGGGTGGGAAAGGTGTGCCCACTGCAAGACAGCAGCTCCTCTGAAGTCCAGCCCTGCCCCCCAAACCAGGAAGCATTCTGCCTCCAGGAGCCCTGCCAGGGCACACCCACTGGGCACCCTGCTCCAGAGTGGGCAGGGCTGGAAGGGACCGGTGAGGACCTGGAGGGACTTGGGGAAACTGGAGGACAGCGTCCGTCACTGTGAACAGAGGGACTTATTCAGAGCCCATGTGTGTCTGTCACTGCAACTGCCTGCAGCCACCCCCAGTTAAGCCTGCCCAGTACCTACAGGCAGGATGAAGGCCGTGAGTGGTGGGAGCTGGCAGGTATACTTGTCGATCCACTGCTCCAGCTCCAGGATGGGCCCCGCCTCGAACGTGGTGTACTCTGAGGAGCCAAGGAGCAGAGGGAACTACCATGAGGCCATCACCCACCAGACTATGGCGGGAACCGCCCCTGCTGCCCTTCCACCTGGCTGTCCCGCAGACTGCTTCCACTGGCTCAGAAGGTACTTTCCCTCCCAGGGGCTACAAGCAAGGCTGACTGGCCCACCTGTGGGTCCCTGGGGGCCTGGGCTCCCAGATGGTAACCCCTAGGAGAGTCCCCTGACCCTAGGGCTCACAGGAGGTTGAGAATTACTTAAGTGAGCCTCCCGGGCCGAGGAGTGCGGTGTCGCCAGAGCCGAGCCGACGTCCTGCAATGTGCACTGGATCTGGGAGGCAACAGAAGGTGACAGTCAAGATCTATTTGGGATGGGCTGGACAGAGGGAATGTGGTTCCATGTGCAGAGGCGCCACCTAACACGCCGGCAAAGCCTGTGCCAGCTAGCTCGTGAAGGGCTGATATGGTTTGGCACTGTGTCCCCACCCAAATCTCATGCTAAATTGTGATCCCCAGAGTTGGAGGTGGGGCCTGGTGGGAGGTGATTGGATCATTGGGGTGGTTTTGAATGGTTTAGCACCAGTCCCCTAGTGCTGTCTTGTGATAGAGTTCTCCCAAGATGTGGTTTGAAAGTGTGTAGCATCTCCCCCTTCACTCTCTCTCCTGTCAGCCATGTGAAGATGCACCTGCTTCTCCCTTGCCTTCCGCCATGACTGTAGGTTTCCGGAGGCCTCCCCAGAAGCAGAAGCCTGTACAGCCCGCAGAATCATGTGCAGATTAAACTTCTTTTCTTTATAAATTATCCAGTCTCAGGTAGTTCTTTATAGCAGTGAGAGAACGGACTCATACAGGCTGTCAGACCTTGAACTGGCTGACATTTGAAGGCAAACTCTGAACCTTCAGCACAACATCTTTGTTGGACACCCAGCCCTGCTGAGGGGGACCTGCTGTGGCTCTTTTGCAGTCTGAGGGAGGAAAAGGCTTGTGTGGGGGCAGCAGCCGGTTAAGCAGATGACGCTCATCACACACCCAGGGACAGTTAAGAGGAAACGTCTAGGCTCTGCCCACGTCTCCCGTGCACCTAAGCCCTATGAGGTTTTCTTCTTTTCTCAACATTTGACAGCTGGGCCAAGAGATCAAATGTGACAGTGCTTTCTCAACTCTAAAGGACGAGGAGCTTGGAGAATGTAGTCAGCCAAGGCGTTTGGGGGTTCTGGGAGCAGGAAGCCTGGCTGGGTGAGGCCTGTGCTCTGTCCAGGTAGGGGGTAGGTTTGCTTGGCACAGAAGTGGTCTGTTGGGGTCTGCTGCAAGGGCTCCAGGCCCCTGCATGACAAATGTCCAACAGCTTCCAGGCATGTGAAAACCACAAGTACCACCTCTGACTTTGTGCCCAGCCAGGGTCCACTCGAGCTGGATGGTGGGCTACCAGGAGGGTGAAGGTCTGCGACCTCTGACCTCTTCTAAGATGGCCACTGTGACAGCATTCAAGAAGCAGGCCATGGTGTGTAAGAGCAGACGCTGTCCATCCAGCACTGGCCTGGAACCTTCCTAGGGCTTCTGACCAGCAGACCTTGGGCAAGCTTGGGGTCCCTGTGCTTCCACAGTCAAAGCGGGAGTGGTAACACTACCCACTTGGTTGGCCAAGTGCAGTGTGTACCCCAGGGGCTGGACTGGCACCAGTGCAGTGTGTACCCCAGGGGCTGGACTGGCACCAGTTTGGGAATCAGATTCCTGCTCCACTGATGCCTGGCTGTGGGGGCTGGGCAAGTCAGCCTTTCCGAGGCTCAGTTTGGCTCCCTATAAATTGTGGACATTAACTTCCACCTCACGGGCATCTGTGAGGGTGAAATGGGTGATACGAGGAGAGCCATGGCATTGCTGCCCGACCTCATCCACAGGCCCTGCGAGCAGCTACCAGGCCAGGTGGGGCTCCCAGGTGAATAAGACACAGTCCCCGCCCTTACAGTGCCAAGGCTGGGTGGGAGGCAGATGGGTGAACAGGTTAACTCCCCTTGTGATTCCTGTGGTTAGAGGATGTGGAAACCTAGGAGCGGTGCCTAACCCAGCTGGAGGTGAGGTGGCCAGGGAAGGCCCTGGAGGAGGTGACACCGCAGCTGCGACCCAACGCATACAGCAGACAGAAATGACCGCTGCTACCGCGGCTCCTCAGGAGGTTGAAAGCCTTCCTCCACCACACTGAATGTTCTGGTGGCTGAGGCTTCCCATCCTCCTGCAGCCACGGCCTGTGGCAGCCCCACCTACTCCCCTCTGTCTGTTCCCAGGGGCCTGAGCAGGCTCCAGCCTGGGCTTCAGAACGGAAGTGGGAGGGGCTGCCCCTGCGGGGAGCGGTTTCTGGGGATCTGGGTCTGTGTGGAGGTGTAAAGTGCGGCACCCTGGGCATTCTCAGGTGGCGATCCTGCCTCCGTGCTTGAAGTTCTCTGTGTGGGTCAGAGGCCCCCTCCTTCTTAGGGAACAGAACAGTGACACTGTGACACGTGAGTCCCACTGGCTGAGGGCTCACTGCAGCTGGGCCTCTCCAGGTTCCCTCTGCATCAGGCACGAGCGAGGCATTTCACACCGGCTTTCTCAGCCTTGGTGCTATTGCCATTCACGGCGGGTCATTCTTTGTTGATGGGGGCTGTCCCGTGCATTGCAGGATATTTATATGCCAGCAACACCCCCACCCCAGATGCGACAACTAAAAATGTCTTCAGATATTGCTCAGCAGGCCCTGAGGGGCAGAATGGCCCTGGGTTGAGAACCGTTCCATTTTAAATTCCCTCATTTAGTGCAATCCTCACCACTCACCTGTGAAGGAAGATTATACGTCTCCAATCGTTTGTTTTGGAGACAGAGGTGTTTTTTCTTTGTTTTTTTTTTTAAGACAGGATCCCACTCCGTTGCCCAGGCTAGAGTGCAGTGGTGTAATCACAGCTCCCTGCAGCCTCAACCTCTAAGACTCAAGCGATTCTCCCACTCAGCCTTGTAAGTTGCTGGGACTATGGGTGCATGCCACCATACCTGGCTAATTTTTAATTTTTTTTTTTTTTTTGTAGAGACAGGGTCTCCCTAAGTTGACCAGGCTGGTCTTGAACTCCTGGCTTGAAGTGATCCTCCCACTTTGGCCTCCCAAAGTGCCGGGATTACAAGCTTGATTGAACCATGGTGCTCGGCCTGAGACAGGGTCTCAATCTGTTGCCCAGGTAGGAGTGCAGTGGCATGATCACAGCTCACTGCAGCCTTGATCTCCTGGGCTCAAGAGATCCTCCTACCTCAGCTTCCTGAGTAGCTGAGGCTACAGGCATTCACCACCACGCCTGGCTAATTTTCAAATATTTTGTAGAGTTGGGGTCTTACTGTGTTACCCAGGCTCCTGGCCTCAAGTGATCTTCCTGCCTCAGTCTCCCAAGCAGCTGAGATGGCAGGTGTGAGCCACCACACCTGGCCTGTCCCTATTTCACAGATGAAGAAACGGAGCTCACGGAGGGAGAATGACTAGCCCCAGGTGACACAAAGAGGAACTGATGGCTGGATGCTGAGTCCCGTGATGGCCACCAGGGATGAAGATTCCCAGCTTGGGTAAGACGGTGTTACTCACTTTCTGAAGCTCTTCAGCAAATATGTGGCCCTTTTCTGTGACTAATTCCACAGCAAACCTATGAAGGAAAAGGAAAAAGCGTTGGCCTGTAATGTAATGTCCCTAGGCCCTGTCTTGCTGTAAACAATAGATTCTCAGGTGGTGGGCCATTTAGTTAATTTAGATATAATAAACACATTATTTTTCTTGCTGACAATAAGAACATTATAGCCTTCCACTTGGGGGGTTGGTAGTATTTGTTTCTTGAAATGCCTTTTCGGATACTCATTATTTCCAGTCAATAATTCCTTTTGAACAACTATTCTGACCAGGCCCACGAGAGTCTGGTGAACAGAAGCTGAGCCAGGCTCTGCCCAGCAAGCTGGTGACAGGGTGAGCAGTGACAGTCTCAAGTGATGGATCCTGAGCTCTGACCTGTGGCCCTGTGGTTATAGGTGAGTGGGAATCAGACAGACCCAGGTGCAAATTCTGCACCGCTGCTGAGTGTCTCTGGGACTTCAGGCAAAGCTTATACCTTCATGTTCAGGAGTGTGATATTCAGGAGTGTGATAGGTAATCAGGTTAGATATACTCCTGAATGTGAAGGTGCAAACTGAGATCAGTGCTCTGAAGAAAAGGGCAACAGAAACCTAATCTGACCTTAGCTAGAGAGGCAGGGAGGGCTTCCTGGAGGAAGTGATGCTGGAGGGGAGACTTTGAAGGCTGGGGAGGACTTCCCTCGTAAGGCAGGGAAAGCAAACTGCCCCCGACACAGGTCAGGACCCTGGCTCTGCCTCCCTCAGAACCCTGCACTTCCCTCCTGCACCAGTCAGTGCCCCAGCAGCAGACAGTGGTGCGTTGCAGGGATTCCTGGAGGAGGGCTTTGGGAAGGGACAATTCACAGAGGTGTGGGCAGAGTTTCAGGCAAATGCAGGAGCCTGAAGGCAAGGGTCAGGGAAGGTGCAACTCACCCTGGAGGGAGCTGGATTCTGGAGTCACTCAGCAGGGAGGGAGGGAGGGAGGGAGCCCAACTGCCACCAGAACCATGCACCGCTGGGGAACGGGGTCACACACACTCCTGATCTCTCTGCACTCTCTCCCCCATCACCTGCTGGTGCCTCCCACTGGCTGGACCCACCTGAATGCCAGAAGACCAAGGAATCAAGGTGGCACAGCCACCAGGTGATAAGGCCAGCCTCCCATGCATAAAGAGAAGGTGAAGAGAAGGGATTTGAAAGGGCCAATGGAGAATATCCAGCCCATCTTCCTGGCACATCTTACAGTTAGAACTAAACACACCAGTGTGATTCCCACCTGGTATGTGTCTTCCCTCTGGACCAAAGGGAAGGGCTGTGCAGGCTGGGACACAGTCTGTCTCCATCATAGCGGATGCCTCATGCCTGCCTCACAGCAGGTGTGCAGAAGTATCTGCTTGCCGAGGGACGCTCCGTGACCAGGCCAGTGGCAGGCCCCCACTGGGCGCTTGCCCCAAGCCTGCTCCCACGCGTGTAGCTGCCCGGTGAGTGCTGCCTGCTCCCTGCACTCTGAGGCTCAGGAAGGTGGGGCTGAGGTTCTCTGTTGAGCAGCGCCTTGCAGCAGATGCTTGGCCAATATCTGACCAAGGAAGAATCCACAACCGAGATTTCCCCGACCTGCTGCTCCTCCTCAACTGAGAGATGATGGCTCGTGATTTAGAGCTCATTAGAATAGCTGACGCGAGAACTGGCCTTTTCTCCCTTTGCCCACTTGGTCTTGCATCTGCCCCCTTCTGGACCCCCTCCCACACACACACCAAGGGGTTTGTTTGCCTTCTCTACCCAGCTGGCTGACTATCTATACCTCCCATTATCTGTCCCGAAAATCTCACCTAGCCAGGCCCGCCATGGAGAAATGGTAGCCAGGAACAGGTAAGTGTTAAGAACAGTAATAATGAGGGGACTTGCTTGAACCTGGAAGGCAGAGGTTGCAGTGAGCCGAGATCGTGCCATTGCACTCCAGCATGGGCAACAAGAGTGAAACTCCATCTCAAAAAAAAAAAAAGAATGATAATAGCTAACATTGCTATTACTTGTGCTAGGCACTGTCCTCAGGGTGAAACGTGGAATCATCTCATTTAAGCCCCACAAGAACACAGTGAGACAGGAATTATCATGATGATTACCTGACAGAACAGTAAACTGAGGCTCACATTGATTTGCCTGACGTCCCAGAGATGATCTGCAGCGGTGCTGAATCTGTAGCTGGGTCTATCTGGCTCCCATGCATCTACAGCCCACAGGCCCAGAGTCAGATACCAGGATCCAGCACTTGAGACTGTTGCTGCTCCCCCTGTCACCAGCTTGCAGGGCACGCTGGGCAGACTGTGCTCCTGCTTGCAAATATTTGCTGCCCCTCCCACCCCGCTGATGTCAGGCACGTGCACATGACAGTCTCTGGCCACTGAAATGTGAGTAAATGGAAGGCATCACTCCCAAGAAAGGTTTGTCTTTTGGAGACAGAGTTGTACTCTCGCCCAGACTGGAGTGTAGTGGCACGATCATGGCTCAATGCAGCCTCAACCTCTCAGACTCAAGTGATCCTCCTGCCTCAGCTTTCTGAGTAGCTGGGACTACAGGTGTGCACCACCATGCCTGGCTAATTTTTTAATTTTTCTTTTTAGTAGAGACGAGGTCTTGCTATGTTGCTCAAGCTGGTCTCAAACTCCTGAGCTCAAGTGACTCTCCCACCTCGGCCTCCCAAAGCGCTGGGATTAGACCTGTGAGCCACTGCTCACACTTTTTTTTTTTCAACTTTTATTTACCAACAAAGTTGAGTCTCCATAAAGACTGTGAGAAACTGCCAATGTCGACTATACTTCAAGTCATCATGGCGGGGTAGTGGGAAGAGTTTTCAATCGGCAATAATCGCACCTTGGATAAACCTCGCTGGTGACAACACCGCCACTGCACAATCCCTTGACAGCCTCAGGAGCCACTGTGGGCTTCACCATGACCTCTTTTCCCTCTGCCACAATGACTGATAATCGCCCCAGGCAGCAGCTGTCCTAGCAGCCTGGGTCCCAGAGTGAAGGCCACATGGAGCCACAGCACATCCACCCTGTGATGGGGGTGAAGTGGGAGCAGCCAGTCCACCTTTGGTGTCCTAAGCCAGGAGATTTGGGGGTTGTCTGTGACCACAGCATGACCTGCCCATCCTGACCTGGTCCATCCTTGAGTCCACCTTCTATACTTTGGCTTATGTAAAAAACAACATTCACAAAAGGGATCACATTGGATGTACTGCGCATTATACTAACTCACCTCTTTCACTCAATATACTAACCTCAGTGGCATACACAGGCTCACCTGAAAAGTGAGGGATGAGAGGGAGGCAGCTTCACATGGCATGGGCCAGAGGCCATGCAGGCACCGGCAAGGCCAGAAGGGAAAGGAGTCTGCAGCCCTGCAGCCTTGTGGAGCTGACCAGCCTGTGCTTCAGCGCTGAGGAAAGTTCAGTAAGGGCTGACAACCTCTGAGGCAGCTGTCCAGGACACGTGGGAGCTTCACATTCATTACGTTTACCCATACTTGACTCAAATGCAACCTCAAGGCCAATCCTGTTCTTCTTACCCAATAGCTGAACTTAATTCATCTGTAGTTCCCACGGCTTCAAACACTTGGTCGTCTTTGGGTCTCCTTTCTCCTGTGAAGGTGCTAGAAAACCCTGTGGAAAAAAATGTTTACCACCCAAATTAAGATTCTGTTTTCCTGATATGCTGTTTTTTTTTTTGTTTGTTTGTTTTAACTTTCAAGTTTTTAAAGAACTTTCTCTCTCTTTTTTGAACTGTCGCTCTGTCATCCAGGCTGGAGTATAGCAGCGTGATCTTGGCTCACTGAAACCTCTGCCTCCCAGGTTCAAGTGATTCTCGTGCCTCAGTCTCCCAAGTAGCTGGGATTACAAGTGTGTACCAGCATGCCCGGTTAATTTTTGTATTTTTAGTAAAGACTGGTTTTCGCCATGTTGGCCAGGCTAGTCTTGAACTCCCGGCCTTAAGTGATTCATCTGCCTCAGCCTCCCAAAGTGCTGAGATTACAGGCATGAGCCATTGCACCACCCCTTAAAGAACTTTCAACCTGAAGTATAACATATACACAGAAAAGTACTCAAATCATAAGTGTGCAAGTTGGTGAATTACTACTAACTGAATATACCTCTGTGATCAGAACCTAGCTTCATAAACAGAACATGACCAACACCCTGAAAGCCCCCATGTACCCTCTTTTAGTTGCCACTCCCCAAGGGTTAGCCACTATCCTCACTTCTTTCCTGATGTGCTTTTATTTTAAACTTAAGAATCATACACTAGCCATCCTGATAAAGAAATAAAACATGTTACATATTTTATATCATATGTACATTACCATTGTATTTCACAGGACGTCAAAGTCCTCTGTGCCTCTGCCTAGCTCACAGTCCCTGCCTCTCCCCCAACCTCTGAGAAAGTGAAAACTGCCCCTGACAGTTTGGAGCTGGCTTTTGCTATTGGGCAGGCTTTGGGGTTGCCAGGTGTTGGCCTGGCACTCACAGGTAGACTGTGGTGTTCTGCTGAACACAAACCATTTCACAGAAAATCGTCAGACAGGTCACTCTACGACTATGACGGTTCAAGACCAAGACAAGGCCACTCTGGAATAATGTCTGAGCACAGATGACTGTCCAAATGCCAAAAGATGACCAAACATCCCCCTTCCCTGGCTAATGTGAATGGCTGTTGCATCTTTATCCATTACAGCGTTAGCACCTCTTTGTCCCTTCTGTCTTCTAGAGACAAATTATTAAGATACCCAATTACAGGCCGGGTGCGGTGGCTCACACTGTAATCCCAGGACTTTGGGAGGCCATGGTGGGCAGATCACTTGAGGCCAGGAGTTCGAGACCAGCCTGGCCAACATGGCGAAACCCTGTCTCTAACAAAAACAGAAAAAATTAGTCGGGCATGGTGGTGCATGCCTGTAGTCCCAGCTGTTTGGGAGGCTGAGGCATAAGAATCACTTGAACCTGGGAGGTGGAGGTTGCAGTGAGCCGAGATCATGCCACTGCACTCCAACCTGGGCAAAAGAACTAGACCCTGTCTCGAAAAACAAAAAAAGATACCCAATTACAGAAATAGCCCTGCTTCCTAACAGGATTCACTTGAACCTGGGAGGTGGAGGTTGCAGTGAGCCGAGATCATGCCACTGCACTCCAACCTGGGCAACAGAACTAGACCCTGTCTCGAAAAACAAAAAAAGATACCCAATTACAGAAATAGCCCTGCTTCCTAACAGGATTCAATCCGCAGCAAAGCCCCACTTCCTTGAATCCTCCCCCAAACCACCCAATAGAAGCCCAACTCTATAATAACTCCTTTCCAATATCCTCTTCCTTCTTTTTAATTGTGGTAACAGATGAACATAACAGAATTTTGCCATTTTGACCCTTCTTAAGTTTACCATTCAGTGGCATTGAGTATGTCCCGTGAATGCTTTTATACTTTTCCTATACAAGTATATATCCAAAAAATAATACATACTAGTGATCTGCATGTTTTTATACTACAAAAAAATGGTATACTGGCTGGGTGCGGTAGCTCATGCCTCCTGTAATCCGAGCACTTTGGGAGGCTGAGGTGGGAAGATACCTTGAGCCCAGCAGTTCAGGACCAGCCTGGGCAACACAGCAAGACCTCATCTCTACAAAAAAAATTAAAAAGTATTAGCCAGGCATGGTGATGTGTGCCTGTTGTCCCAGATACTCAGAAGGCTGAGGTGGGAGGATTACTTCGAGCCTGAAAGGTGGAGGCTATAGTGAGCTGTGACTGGGCCACTGCACTCCAGCCTGGGTGACAGAGCAAAACCCTGTATCAAAAAAAAAAAAAAAAAAATCATAGCAGTACATTCTTCTGCATCTTACTTTTTTCTATATAACATGTTCTAGCATTTAAAAAACTATTAAAGTAATATATACTCATTATAAAAAACAATAAAATAGAATAAAAGTATATAAATAGTGAAAGTCCTTCTGTTTGTTCCCCTCTCACAACCTCTCTCCCAGAACAGTCCCAGGTGTAACCTTTCAGACTATTCTACACACACCTGAACACATACATATGCACATCCTTATCCAGATAGATTCAGGCTTTTGTCATTTAATATCTCGAGTGTTTTTCATTTCACATAACATTTTTGTAATGTATACTGAAATCTGTCACATATTTTATATATATATTTTTTTTTCTGAGACTTTTTTTTTTTTTTCCTGAGACAGCATCTCGCTCTGTCACCCAGGCTGGAGTGCAGTGGCATGATCTTGGCTCACTGCAACCTCTGCCTCCCAAGTTTAAGCAATTCTCCTGCCTCAGCCTCCCAAGTAGCTGCTGGGGTTACAGGCATGCACCATCATACTCAGCTAATTTTTGTATTTTTAGTACAGATGGGGTTTCACCATGTTGGCCAGGTTGGTCTCAAATTCCTGGCCTCCCAACAGGGCCTCCCAAAGTAACGGGATTACCGGCATGAGCCACTGTGCCTGGTCACATATTATACTTTTAAATGGCCGCAAAGAATTTGGAAGAACTTTAAAATGGTGTATGCCGTGAGTATTTCTCTGTGTTTTTCACCTGTCCCCACCCTACCTTTGTCTCCCGTTTTGGTGTAAATCTTGGGGATCCTGGGTGTCTTCGAGGAAGGCTGTGGCCTAATGAGAAATAAACATCAGTATCTGGTGAGTGGGGATGGTTTACACAGAGGGTCAGCTCCTTCAGTAGGTCCCAGCTTGTTGCTTGTAACCTCAGAGGCAGCACTTACCCCTTACTGCTTAGATGGTCATCTCTTATTGATTTCTTTCCCCTAGATCCCTTCTAATAGCAAACATTTTGTGGGCAAGATCAGAGCTGGGTGACAGTGTGTACAGTAGCTGACGTAACGCCTTGCTCAACATGGGCTCAATACCTATTTGCTGAAGGACTTGATTGATTCTTTGCCATTGTCCCTGCACTGTGCCAAGTAGTTTACAGGCATTACCATCTGGAATTATCCTGGAATCTTTCCACAACCCCAAAGGTAGGCACCACCTATTCTCTTCATTTTACTGAGGAGGAAACTGTAGATCAGATGAGACTCACTTTCCTAGATCATCCAGGAAGAGGCAGGAGTGGGATGCTCAAAACTGTCCTAGACCAGAGCACAAACTGTAACTTCTATCCTGCTGAAATTCTTTCTTTATTATTATTATTATTATTTTGAGATGGGGTCTCGCTCTGTTGCCCAGGCTGGAGTGCAGTGGCATGATCTAGGTTCACTGCAACCTCTGCCTCCCGGGCTCAAGCAATCCTCCCATCTCAGCCTCCCCAGTAGCTGGAACCACAAGTGTATACCACCACACTCGGCTAATTTTTTTTTTTTTTTTTGGTAGAGACGGGTTCACCATGTTGCCTAGGCTGATTTTGAACTCCTGAGTTTAAGCAATACGGCTACCTCAACCTCCCAAAGTGTTGTGATTACAGGTGTGAGCCACCATACCTGGCCTATGATTATTTTGCTCACAGACAGGGTCTTGCTCTGTTGCCTAAGCTGGAATGCAGTGCAGTGGCATGATCATAGCTCACTGCAGTCTTGAACTCCTGGGCTCAAGGGATCCTCCTGCCTCAGCCTCCCAAGTAGCTAGGACTCTTAACTCTATCCTACCCAAATTCTTACCTTACACTCCACCAACTTAGGGCCTCTTGCAGGAAAAGAAGCCTGAGCCACTTCCATACTATGAGGCTGCGAGTGTACTCAGAGATGAAGAATTGCCAAAATACAGCTCAAAAAGTGGCATTTTCAAATAACAATGTAAACAACTCAATGACATAGCTCAAAATTAAAATGTGACACTACAAGGCCATTCGAAGGTTAATTTCCTGGATCTGTGAACTAAATTAATCCATTATTAATCCACGGTACTCTAGAGGTTCTGAGGTCTGGGTTGGGTGCAAGTTTCAAGGTATATGAGGAAAGCCATCTTTAGAAGGTGCTGGTGTATCTGGGACCTGGGGGATAAACTGCTATGGAAATTGGTCACAATCTGAGTCGAGAGCCCTGCTGGCCCACACGGGATATGCCATGCCCTGCCCGATGACAGCTGGGTTTCACTGGGACTTAGGCAAAGACTACCTGGTCTCTGGAGCCCACGTGGTCCACGTTGCCACGGTGACGTCAGGACAGCGTGGAGACGTCACCGGACGGGTGCCGCGGTGACCTCACGACGGTGTGACGTACCCATGACGACGACACCACGATTCAAAGCAGGTGTTCGAGTTACCCTTCCCGCCAGCCACTCACCTGTCCCCGTCTTCCACGCCCTGAGGGCTGCGGCTCTGGAAACGGGGATACAGGAGCCTGGCGGCGCCGAAGCATCCGCGCAGGCCAAGACGACTCCCCAGGCCCCACACAGCCATCAGCCAGGCTTCTTGACGGGAGCTGACCCCGCCAGGTTCCCGTCCAGGCCCCGGAGTGACTCCACCCACAGCTGGCCGCGCCACCGCTCAGCTGTCAATTTTCATTGGCTCGAGGTTCTCGCCCCAGGGCGGGACACTCCCAGGGACTTGTTTCCCATTGGTTTGACGGACGAAGCGGGGCGGGAAAACCCGTGCCGGCTTGGCTGCATCACCACCAATATTCAAGCCTATTGGTAAAGGTACGCCAGACTTGCGCGCTCTGATTGGCTGGGCTGAAGGCCAAGGCCTCCTCCCCTTGAGGCACGGGCGCTCTAGGCTGCAGAAGTCCGGGAGCTGCTCCGGCTCCGGCGCGGAGTGGCGGCAGCGGGGCGTGGGCGGCGGCGGCGGCGGCAGGTGAGAGGCCGGGGTCGCGGGGCCGGGTGGCGCGAGGTCCTAGACCCAGGACGGCCCTGAGCCGGGCGCCCAGTTTCTGTGGCTCAGTTTCTCCAGCTCTGAGAGTCAGCCCCGAGGGGTCGGCGACCTCAATCTTGACAGTCGTGATTTTGAGCTTGGGACAAGCAAGGGGATTCCCCGCTCTGAGCCTCAGTTTTTCTAAGAAGTGGGGATCACGATAGTACTTAGCTCGTAGTGCACTTGAATCTTAGCGTAAGGTAATCGACGTAAAACCTTAAGCGGAGGATAATTTTGCGTTGTTTATAAAAGTGTAAATTGCACACACCTGTAGACCCTGCAAGCCCCTTTCTAGGACTCTGTCCTGCAGAAATACTCATTTAAGTGTGCAGAACGAGGCGTACTGGGTGTTTTCTGTGGCCTTGTTTATAATTGCGACACGTTGGAAACAGCCTAAATGTCCAGCAAAGAGTTCTTTCTGCTCCATGATTTCATGTAATTTCTACCTTCAATAGTAGTAGTTGTAAAAGCTGAAACGAAGAACAGAGCCAGTAATAAGTAGCTCTCAGTAATTGAATGATTAGTAGGTGCCAGACACTGCTAAGTGTTTCCCTTGAGTTAATTTAACCTTCCTAACATCCACTGAGGTGCGTACGGTTATTTTCTGTCCATATAACGTGGTGGGAAACCGATGTTCATAGCCGTTTAAGTGAGTTAGCTAAGACGACATCACTGGGGAGTGGAATAGCTGGGATTTGAACCCAGATCTGTTGGATGTGTCCAGTTGATTGCTGCATTGCCTTTCTGGCACGTAGCAAGTGCTGGACGGTGACTACCTTTTTTGTTATTATGATGGGCTTGAACTAGGTGTTCTAAGATCTCTTCCTGATGGTTCTGACATCTGGAGATCTTTGCTCTTCTCACTGGCTTTCCCTTTTAGGATTCCCAGGAGCCATGTTGTCAGAAGTCCTACTGGTGTCTGCTCCGGGGAAAGTCATCCTTCATGGAGAACATGCCGTGGTACATGGCAAGGTACAAAGCCGTTAGAGCCTTTAAGGATTGGGTACCCCTTCTCCCTGATACTAATTTTGCAGGACACCTGAAGCACAGCTTGGGAGCAGATCAGAGATGTCAGTTTCTCCCCAGCCAGGCAAGGAAAAGGTATCTTATGCCCACTGAAGAGATTCTCAGGCCTCACTCGGTATGATAGCAAAAAGATGGTATATGAAGCCCTATGAGTGGAATGAGATCACCTAGGAGTGAGCTTTGATGCAGAAGGAAGAGGTTTGAGAACTGAGCTCCGGGGCACTAAGACATGGAGAAGTTGGAAGGATGATCTAGCAAAGGAGTCGGAAACATCCATTACCTCATTTTACCCTTACGCCCAAGGCATACCCTTTTATTATCCTGTTTTACAAATGTGCAAACCGAGGCTTAGGAGAGAAGTGGTAACTTGATCCAAGTCCTATATACCTTGGTAGAGCTTGGTGTGAACCTAAGTCTGTCTTAGGTTCTACTCCTGCTGCACTCTGCTTTTTTTTTTTTTTTTCCCTGAGACAGAGTCTTGCTCTGTCGCTGGAGCGCAATCTTGCGATCACGGCTTACTGCAGCCTCCAACCTCAGCCTCCCGAGTAGCTGGGACCACAGGTGTGTACCACCACACCCCACTAATTTTTTCTTTTATTTTTTTTGTAAAGACATGGTTTGACACCAGGCTGGTCTCAAACTCCTGGGCTCAAGTGATCCTCCTGCTTTGGCCTCCCAAAGTGCTGGGATTACAGATGTGAGCCACCACACCTGGCCTCTCACTGCTATTCTTTATGTTCTTATATTTCTCATTGAAAACATGGTGATTATGGGGAAGTGATTCCTTGGTGTTGAGAACCTGTGAAATTTTTCAGGAAGAAGGCAAAGTGGATGTTAACTTTTAGTTGATCGATGGTGGCTGTCCCCAGGCTTAGTGGGAGAGCGTGCCAAAGTTGATTAGCAGTGTCTGGCAAGGGCATGGCTGGGAGTGGCCTCTGTGCTCATGTTTGCTCTCTTGTTAGCATGTGGGCCCTGGCTCCTTTGCCACTCACCCTCAGGCTTATGGCTTTTGTCCTTTATTCTACAGGTAGCACTGGCTGTAGCCTTGAACTTGAGAACATTTCTCCGGCTTCAACCCCACAGCAATGGGAAAGTGGACCTCAGCTTACCCAACATTGGTATCAAGTGGGCCTGGGATGTGGCCAGGCTTCAGCTACTGGACACAAGCTTTCTGGGTAAGTGCAAGGAGGAGAAATCGTAAGAGCCTTACCAGAGGTGGTGAGAGCCTACAGAGAGGGCAGCTGGCCAGGTATTCCAGGCTGTCCCCAAGGGAGCCAGGGGCCAGCTATTGCCAGCGTGTTTTCTACCCTGACCTTATAAAATTAGCTTCACTTATTTATTTTTTTTAATTTAAAAGTGTAAAACAATGCATTGGATCTGTGTGGGCTGTTGTGGACAGATCATCAAGGCCTATTGTTGAGTGAAAAAAAAATGCAAAACAGCAAACATAGGTATTTAAGTATAAATATGTGTATAAATGATAGAAAAGATCTCGGGGACATAGACATCAGATTGGCTGTGGCAATTAGTTCTCCTGGGAGAGACCTGGGGCCAGAGAGTAGACAAAGGGACACATGTTTTAAATGAGGAGAATATATTGGCATTTTGTATAATTAAAAATTAATAAAAGTAGGCTGGGCACAGTGGCTCATGCCTGTAATTCCAGCACCTTGGGAGGCCAAGGCGGGCAGATTACCTAAGGTCAGGAGTTCGAGACCAGCCTGGCCAACATGGTGAAACCCTGTCTCTACTAAAAATACAAAAATTAGCTGGGTGTGGTGGCACATGCCTGTAATCCCAGCTACTCAGGAGGCTGAGGTAGGAGAATCGCTTGAACTTGGGAGGCGGAGGTTGCAGTGAGCCGAGATCGTCCATTGCACTCCATCTCAAAAAAAAAAAATTAATAAAAGTAAAAGTTACCTATGCTTATTATTGGAAGATATGGTCAATGCTGGGACGTTGTTTTTTTTTTTTTTTTTTTAGACTGAGTCTTACTCTGTCCTTCAGGCTGGAGTGCAGTGGCGCGATCTCAGCTCACTGCAAGCTCCGCCTCCCGGGTTCACACCATTCTGCTGCCTCAGCCTCCCGAGTAGCTGGGACTACAGGCGCCCACCACCTCGTCCGGCTAATTTTTTGTATTTTTGTAGAGACGGGGTTTCACCATGTTAGCCAGGATGGTCTCCATCTCCTGACATCGTGATCCGCCCGCCTTGGCCTCGCAAAGTGCTGGGATTACAGGCGCAAGCCACCGCACCCGGCGGGACATTGTAATTTTAAAAATCACTTATTATTCCCCTTCTCCTTTCTCTGACCCCAGTAATGACTCCAAGCATTTTGGCATTAATCCTTCTGGGTGATTTTCTGTAGATGGATAGAAAGATTGGTAGAGACAGGGAGATATCTTGGTTTTTTAACCAAAATTGGGTCAGGCCATATAAACCTTTCAGAAATACCTGTTTTTTCTTTTGTGTGTCAGATGTGTGTGCTGATTTTTGGCAGCACTGTGAAGATTTCATCCACTCATAAGCAGGCCAGCTTTTTCCATCAGTGGAGTCCCCCGCACCTGCCCCAGAGCTGACGTGTATTTTCTGTTCTCAATTTACTGTCTGCTCCCTGGGCTGAAGCCTTGCTTTTTGGAACAGTGTTTCTCAGCCAGGGTGGAATAAATGAGAATCTTCTTGGGTTTTTTTCTTAGACTGCACCTGACCCATTGATACCTGCTTCCCGTTCCCCGTGAGAAACTGTAGTCACTCCCATATGCCACATGGGGATGGAAGAAGAGCTGAAAATTCTCATTTCACTTGCTGTTGAGACAGGGTCTTGCTGTGTTGCCCAGGCTGGTCTGGAACTCCTGGCCTCAGGAGTTTTCCCACTTTCCCAAAGTGCTGGGGTTACAGGTGACAGCCACTGTGCCTGGCCAAAATCCTCATTTTAGAACAACACTTTTTTTTTTTTTCTTTTTTTTGAGACAGAGTCTTGCTCTGTCGCCCAGGCTGGAGTGCAGTGGCGCGATCTCGGCTCACTGCAAGCTCCACCGCCTCCCGGGTTCACGCCATTCTCCTGCCTCAGCCTCCTGAGTAGCTGGGACTACAGGCGTGCGCCACCTTGCCCGGCTAATTTTTGTATTTTTAGTAGAGACGGGCCGAGCCTGGGCGGACAGAGCAAGACTCTGTCTCAAAAAAAGAAAAAAAAAAAAGTGTTGTTCTAAAATGAGGATTTTGGCCAGTGCACAGTGCTGTCAACCAGTAACCCCAGCACTTTGGAAAGTGGGAAAACTCCTGAGCCAGGAGTTCCAGACAAGCCTGGGCAACACAGCAAGACCCTGTCTCAACAGCAAGTGAAATGAGGAATTTTCAGCTCTTTTCCATCCCCATGTGGCATATGGGAGTGACTTACAGTTTCTCACGGGAACGGGAAGCAGGTATCAATGGGTCAGGTGCAGTACTAAGAAAAAAACCCAAGGAAGATTCTCATTTATTCAACCCTGTCTGAGAAACACTGTTCCAAAAAGCAAGGCTTCAGCCCAGGGAGCAGACAGTAATTGAGAACAGAAAATACACGCCAGCCTCTGGGGCAGGTGCGGGGGACGTCC